CCTGTACGGGGACGATGCTGACATCGCCAACGCTTGTTCCGGGCTTATATAGCTCTATTCCGGGCAAGTCCAACCTTCGAGGATATTTTGTTTGTAACAACTACAAAGCATTGGAGCTGGCGACTTCATATGGTTTACAAGAAAATCTCTTGACTCTGAGAAGACAGTATACCTTGCAAACGATGTCATTTCCACTAACACGGGTATTCACAGTTGGTCCCCCGGAGGCTGTCCCCGTTTAATATATACAAATCCAGTATTAGAAGGAATCTCTTTATCTCCGTCATTTTCCCAACCAGGGTTTGACATTTCTCAAAATAGTGTCCATACACAAGGATAAGCAACCTTCAATTTCATTCAGCCTAGGCCTGCATCAATAATTATTTGAAACTACATTCCTTCCCACACTTAAGTGAGCACATGAAAACTGCCAACACATACAATAGATAATTCAAATTTCCCAGTTGAAGTCGTTTCAGTTTTTGTACTAGACAATTTGATATTATTCAACCAACATTACATCTCACCGTTTTGTGTAAGTTTGAAAGTAATATCTTAAACATAGTCTTCAAGGTTTTTTTGATGAGAAAATAATAACAAGATGGTGTTTATATCCAGGTAAAAATATTGAAATTGTAAAAATGATATGATATGTTGGTGTATTTTATATTAAATGGCAAAAGAATTGTTTCATTTGGTATTTATTCTGTTATTCCATCAGTGTAGTCTAGATAGAGTGCATCAATTGTCTCTGATTCCAATTGCTAAATCTGAGCATTTATTTTACATATAGTAAATCAGAATTTGATTGATTGATTATATTATCGTGTATGCCAATTTAAGTAGGCCCTTGTATCTACTATTGAGAGCAAAACGTTTGTTTAAACCCTAGCTTTATAGTAGCATATACAAGACTAGCACAGTTGACAATATTTTTAGTGTGTTTTAACGATGAAATGTGTATTCATTATGGTCTATGGAATCCACTGAAAACAGACACTGAAATAAAAAAAAACACTCACGATTGACTAATGTTAAGATGATCAATTCAGTCAGGCTTTGTCGAGCATTTTGAACTTGACCTATCATAAACCAGTCGTATTTATGCCACATGACATGTACAATCTACGTGAAATGCATAGAATCGTCATGCAGTAAACAAAAGACATTTTTTACACGCATCTTAATCTTGTCGCACACGGCCCACATATATCGACGCAGTAAACGAAAATGCAAAGAATGCAACCATTTTGCAAACATATATACTACCAGGTAATACAAATGTCACGAGACGTCTGTATCACATCATAAGAAACGAATTATTATTGTTCAAAAGAGATGCAATTGTGTGTGTGTGTGTGTATGTATTAATTATAATCTATTATGCATTGTATACAATGAATGTATTTAGGTAGTAATTCATTTATTTTCATTGTATAAATTACTCAGAGGTAGGTTTTATAGCCCTGTAGGTAGACGCATTTGACCTACAAGAACAAACAGTGGGTCGTGACATGTAACCCAGACGGCGCCCCTATACAAAACTTGAATATTTGTGTGGTAACCGATAAATGAACAAGTGCCGTGAACCAATTGATGATTGACTCAATAGACTGTGACGTCATGGTATTCAATACTGAGACAGCGTGGTTATGGGGTCTAGATCTTGTCCAACAGAATGGGTCTACGCTTTGCATGAAATCTGGCGGGCAGATCCACGTACTACCATGGTCGAACCCGACGTTTAACATCAAAGTCTGAAGTCAAACTAGGAAGAAAGTTTGGTTCTGTGGCCGGGAAAGTAGTTTGATGCTTCAATTCGTGAACTCCAGTCACTGGTTACCTAAAATTCGCCGGGCAACGAAAGAGACTGGCACAACTCGACGGATGTCGGGAAATGTCAGGTACCGAACATTCCCACAAACACGTTATAACAAGAATTGTTATTTCCCTGGCCAGTTTATTCATGTAATAATTCACAAGTTTATATCATCGGTATATGGGACGTGTATAGGGAATGTCGTTTCTCTCACTTGTGTCGTGATCGTCACCGACCTAGCTGTGGTGTCCACAGTGCGTAATTTCGTGACCCCTACCTCTAACCAACCGGGTATACACAATTGGGTTGCACAATCTCGAGTTGTCTTTGTATGGCAGCGATGGACATTTTCAGCATGACCAATCATAAATCAATCGTGTTTATGCCACATGCATAGAATAACTTTGTGGGGATACTCGCTTCTTATCCGTTAAAAACCCCATCCGTGAAGTGGTTTAATCCGATAATTAATTTCATCTTGACACAATATATATCAATCAAGTATGTATTTACCACTGATGTTATCGTGTAACAAGTGTCCAA